CTATATTTCTTTCTGGCTATAATCATAAATATGTTCACTGAGAATTAATTTCTATTGTATTCAGTGGAGTTAGGGAATCATACTTAATGGTTATAACCTCAGTGTACTGTGAAGGATTATTACTGATGTTTATATTTCTGTTACAATGTACTTGCTTGTTAGTATATGTGACTGTTGTTTAGGAGTGTTCATTTCTCTTGCTGCTACCAGTTTGCAGCAAGCAGTGTATGTCTTGTGTAGTCCAGAAGTTTTGAAATGCTGCATGATTTTAGCAATGAGAACATCATATTTAGTGAAACGAAATAAGAAAAGAGAAGTTCTGTTTTGAGCTTTAAAAAATAGAGACACATTTTTGTACTGCTACAAAGTACTTAACCTGGATTTGAAATCATATGTGCTTTTGAGAGGTACATTAAGCTTGACTCTCTGAGGAGTATGTATGTAGTACATATACTGTACTTTCAAGTGTTTGTAACCATCTCACTTTATATTTTAAGTGCATACTTACTCTCAGAAACAGTGACATGTCACTGATCCCTCTGCTATTTTTAGCTGTAGGCATATTGAATTGTGATAGGAAAATTAACTTTAAAACATTACAGTGGTGCCTCGCATAACGAGCGCACCGTTTAACGATGAATCTGCATATCGATGCGGATTTTGCGATCGCATACGCGATCGCATACCGATGTTTTATCGCATTGCGATGGGGGAACAGCTGTTCGGCGGTTCCAAAATGGCCGCTGGAACACCCAAAATGGCCACTGGAACACCCAAAATGGCCGCCGGAACACCCAAAATGGCTGCCGGAACACCCAAAATGGCCACCAGAACACCCAAAATGGCCACCGGAACACCCAAAATGGCCGCCGGAACATGGGGAAACATCGCAGAACAGTGGGTTTTGGGCCCATTTGGAACGCATTAAACGAAGGCTTTTCCATTCCGTTTAGCGATGTTTCCTCACAGCGAAGGTTAGTCCGGAACAGATTAACCTCGCTATGTGGGGCACTACTGTATATATTTTAAATAAATGTTAATATTTAGTTATGGTTGTGGTGATACAAGGAGTAGATCCAGAGACTCTACCATTTTAATCCATTTCCAATTAAAATGGCCATGAATGTGCTGGAAACCCCTCAAACACCTGTTTCCTTGGATGACCAAAAAATGAAGCTGGCAACTAAAAATACATGTGGCATACATTTATGCTGCTCACAGCTGTTGCTTTCCTTGTTCATTTGGGAGACAGTCTGACATAACAGAATCAAAATCACTGGCAGCATTGAAATTTTCGGTAGTGGCTGCTCCACTCTGGAAATCTCTACCTGTCGAGGTGTGACTGGATCCCACCCTCCTGAGCTTCCACAAGCAAAATAAAATGTGGCTTTTTACCCAGACCTTCATCTGCCATCCTATGTTCCAGACTGGGTGATATTATGTGGGTGGAGTAAGGTTTTGTTCATTTTCTTTTTATATATTTAATATGGTTTTAATATTTTTAGCTGTATGTTTTATAATACTTTGTATGCTGTCCAGAGTAGTGGCATGCTCACTAAATGGGTGGGTATAAATTTAAATAAATAAATGCATAAACAAACAAATAAAGAAAAAAATTAAAAAATAGTTGGACTATTGTCAGAAAACAGGAAAGGCAGTGAAAAAAAACTGATTAGCTGCAGCTGGGACAATTTTCTTATGTCTCCCAGCCTCCTGGATAGTATGGTTGTTGTGAGCAGATGATAATATTCTTCTTTCTATATTCCCAAACTTGTTAGGTCAGATAGGCAAATTTTAGTCATAACCACCAATCCACATTGCAGACAAATCTATACAAACACACACACACACATCCTGTGTATCTTTGAGTGTGTGGAGACCTTCATGTCAGAGAGATGGAGAAATGCAAGCACATGTAGTTGTAGTAGCACTGCACAATAACAATCCTCTTCTTGCCAGCCTGTACTTGACACCTTTGCCTCAAATAGCTCTTCTTCCTTTATTTTATACAGTATTTGAAAATGTACCCTGCCTTGCTACTAACTTGGGGAGATTCACAGTGTGATTAAAAGTTGTGGCAAAATGATTAATTAATGTTACGATCACTCAGTTATGGATTATGGTCAGCCCACCTGTTCTTGCATGTTCACTTCTACTATTTTAGAAAGCTGGAATAGGACTAGCATGTTTTATGGTTCTAATCAATATTGGTAAGAATTCCTTTCCTTTCTCCTTCATTTCCTTGTTAGAAATATTAAAGATTTGATTGGTGGGATTAGTAGAATTAAGGTGACACCACCTATTTTTCATTTCTCATCACTGCTGCTCACTTTGTTTCTCCTCTCACTCTGTTTAAAGCTCCTTCCCAAATGCAGTGTCACTTTCATCCCTCATCCAGTATTGTTTTCCTTTCAGAAGTTATTCACTCTGAAAATATTTTCTTTCCAAATTTCCTCCTTCCAAAGGAGGCAAGGTGCTCAACCACGAGACAACTGTGTGACCATTTTCCAAAACAGCACAAACTGCCAATCTGATGGTTCATGCCCATCTGTAAGAGTAATAGATGCTCTTGACTAGATTGAGCCAACAGATGTCTGTGTGCTGTTTCATTCAAGACTGTTAACAACAGAGACTTTCCTTAGATATATGAGACAAGATGCAGAGTCTCTAATTAAATTTGGGTCTGACAAGTGAAACCTTTCCAGATTTTCCCTGTCAAAAAGGATAAAATGTTGCAATTTCTACTGCTTATACATGCTGTGCTTGCAGAAAGGTGTGTACCAGTACATTTTTGTTTAACGTTTTAGGAACATAATGTTCATGTTTTAAGTGGTTCCATTTTAAATATCAAAATTTTATTTTAGTAAATTAGCCCATCCTTTCCAAGGTCTGGCAGTTTGTAAGTTTGAACATGGATTAAAACAAAGCACTTGAACAGAAACATTGACCTTTGAAAACTATCCAGCCAAGCCAAGGACATGCCTAAAGAAATGCTTGTGTTTCTTTTGGGGCATGGACAGAGAGGGAGAGGGTGCACCTCAGAGAAGAAACTCTGGCCTTGCAACAATCAACATTTAAGAGTCTACTATTAAATGTTGCTTTGTGTGCTCTGTTTGGCAACAGCCTTGAGAAGATTATCAAGAATCAGCATGAAATTTGTTACCAGGAGAGGTGGTCTTTTAAGGAAATGTTATGAGTTGTCGTGTAACACTGCAAACGTTAAGTTTTGTGGTGAAACTGACATAAATGTTTCATCTTCTGCAGGCAGCTCCCGTTGGTACTTTTACATACAATAGGGTAGTGTCACAAGTTAGAGGCGTAAGATGCGGAGGGTTTAGAAACTTAGAAAAATGTAAGAAGGAGGTTGGGGTCTAGGTAAGATGAATTCAGCGATTAGTGGGAATGAGTCAAGTTTAAATGAAAACCCCAAAGCATGAAAGAGAGTCTCTTTCATGTTTTGGGTTTTTCATTTAAACACGAAGCATGTAATTTGTGTTCTTTCAATAATTGCCAAAAGAGTGCCTCTAAAACATGAATGATTTGTGTTTATGAAAGTTCCCACTTTCATGTGAACTTTCAGTGCCCTTTTGTCTGTCGAATTACCTAAGAAATTTTTCATTCAACAGTATCATGATGGCTGTTGGCAGCCAATCAGAATGTCTGAGGAAGTGAAAAGGACCTGAAACTCAATGAAGAGTGCTCTTTTTGCTTCAGTTGTTTCTTGTGGGATTGCTGTGTGTTGATCTGATGATTGCCTATCTGCCCGGCTCAATCTTAGATCCTTTTGCCCCCCCCCTTTTAATTTCTTTGGGTTAATTTTTGTTGCTGTCAGGCAGACTGCCTGTGCCAGCATGCCTCCCTGTTATTATTTTCTAGATTTTTTTTTTGCTTGCTTGCTTTTCTTGATTTTTGGAAGAGGGACTGTAGGGAGGTTCCTATTTATTTTCATGTGTGTTTGTGTGTATGTGTATGTGTTGCTTTCCCTGTTTGATTTATTTTACTCAGCTAATTTATTGTCTATTTATTTTGCTGAACATGCATATGAAAAGTTGTTTTAGACTATTTTGTTTGCTTCTGTGAGAGTGAATGTGGGCCAGGGGGTGGACTTTGTGTTTTTGCTATTGCACCACTGAGATGTGTGAATATGACAATATAAAATACTGTTTCCATAGCTCTGATGATGATTTTTCTTTCTCATGTATTTTTGCCTGCTTTTGGAGTAGATTGATTTGTTACTGTATTGCCTATGCTTTTTTGTAATAGTTTTTATGGTTTTTTACGGCCTTTGGAGTACCAAAACGAAATGAGACTTTTTTGTATGTAAAAATTGAAAGACTAGTATACAAAAAGAAAGGAAAAGAAAGAAATACACACTCTCAAAGAACCCAAGACAAAAAAAAATATGGGGGGGGGGGTAAATGCCATGCACATCCCTAATGATCAGAGTCTATCTAGCATACATATCAGGATGTAAAGGGCAGGCTGAGGTTATCCAAAGGCTAGAGAGTGTGAAGGAATGGGATGCATGCACAGGTAAATGGTGGAAAGTAGATGAAAACAGATAAGGAGTACAGCCATCCACAGAGTTAGGAGTTGTTGGGGCAATCAATGCACAGCAGGCCTTCTTCCTTTAATTGGCACATTCACTAGCTTACTCTTTGTAGGTCCAATCAGCATGGCTGCTGGAAGGGGGTGTCAGGGAGAAAGGCAGATTCTGTTCTTCTGTTGGTCAGAAGTTGACACTAGAATTGAGTGCAACATCAAAGATGAGGAACAGAAGGACAAATAGTAGAATAGGATGAAGTCTAGGGGAGAAATTGATTTAAATTTCTAGTTTTATTTCACCTTTTTTTCCTGTGATACCAGTTGTTTTGATTTAAACCAACCTGCACTGGCTTAAGAAATGTTTTGAGAGCAGAGAATGGCTATGTAGAGTCTATATGATTTTTAATTAGGTTTTATTACATTTGACTTGTTACATTTTTTTTCTTCGGATACAGATCTTTCGCTGTTGAGGTTCATCAATGCAGAGCTTACAAGGGGTTACTTTCTTGAACATAATGAAGCAAAGTATACAGAAAGGAGAGAGCGAGTGTACACATGCATGCGGATACCAAGAGAACTGGAAAAGGTAAGCTGTTTTCTCAACATTCAGTGGGCCTGCTCTGCTTTGGGCACTACTCAGTTTCAGCCAATATGAGAGATTTATTCTAAGATCACTCTGGATTTGAGCTTGCTTTATATATGAGTGATACCATAATAGAATAGATCAGGGCATATTCAGAGAACCAGAGGGAACAGAATGTGCAGCCAGAGTTTAATTTGTTGTATTCTCTCCAGTGGTTCCAGTGCCAAGGGGGAGGGAGTGTTTTTTTAAAAAAGTTTTCAAAAGCAGCTTGTCTTTGGCAATATGTTGTCAGTGAGCAGATGCACCGATAGCATTTATATTTTGTTTCTCACTTAAGAGTGTGGTCCCACCGGCAATTTGAATTGATTCCTGTTCCCACTTTTTATATGATGTTCAAGTAATGTGGTATATAAATTAGTAGCTGTGTTTACTTTAACTGAAAGGTGATTCGATTTATTTCTGGTAATTCAAACCACTTTTGGCAGCTAGACAGAGGAACTTGACTCATTTTGTTTCTGTTCTGGGAGAACTCTGTTCTCTTTACGACTTTATCATTTAAAAAAAAGTGATACATCGCTAAATTGATGCCTGCATTCATCTGTGGTGCCATCAGGTATCATATACAGTGGTGCCTCGCTTGACGACATTAATTCATTCCAGCGAAAACACTGTAGAGCGAAAATGTCAAACAAAATAAAAAACCCATTGAAACGCATTGAAAACCGTTCAGTGCGTTCCAATGGGCTGAATACCTACTCGTCCAGCGAAGATCCTCCATACGGCAGCCATTTTCGCTGCCTGTAAAGCGAGGAATCCACCCTAGAAAACAGCGGGGGGCCATTTTCTTCAGCCGGTGGTCATTTTGAAACCCTACAATCAGCTGTTTGCTGATCTTCGTTAAGCGAAAATCGGTTCCCGAATCAGGGAACCAATCATCTCACAGCAAAAACAACCCATTTAAACCATCGTTTTGCGATCGCAAAAGCCATTGCAAAAACATCAATGTAAAGCGGATTCGTCGTAGAGCAGGGTAATCGTCCAGCAGGGCACGACTGTAGTTTGAAGAATAAAAAGGGGGAAGCACTGTAGAGCAGTGGTTCTTAACCTTTGTTACTCGGATGCTTTTGAACTGCAATTCCCAGAAACCCCAGTCAGGACAGCTGGTGGTGAAGGCTTCTGGGAGTTGCAGTCCAAAACTCCTGAGTAACCCAAGGTTAAGAGCCAGTGCTGTAGAGGAGTCTTAGTGCACAAAATGATGCTTTGCTAAGCATTTCGAAAAGGAATTTTAAAAAGAGTGGCAAAACCATGGTTCCAGTGGTGCACAAAGTAAATAGATAAATACAGTGGTGCCTCGCTAGACAGGTACCCTGTATGACAGTTTTTTCGCTAGACATTGACTTTTTGCAATCGCTATAGCGATTCGCAAAACAGTGATACCTATGGTGGAATTTCACTGGACAATGTTTGGTCCCTGCTTTGCAAACCGATTTTTGCTAGACGACAATTTTGACAGCTCCCTCCGCGCTCGCAAAATGGGTGTTTTCGGGACCTAAGCTTCACAAGACAGGGATTTAAGCAGTTGATTGCCGGTTCGCAAAGTGGCTTTCCTATGGCCAATCTTCACTAGACAACGACGATTCTTCCCCATTGGAATGCATTAAACAGGTTTCAATGCATTCCAGTGGGGAAATGCTTTTCGCTAGACGATGATTTGCCTCTTTTGTAGCCACTAGAGAGGATTCATTGTGTTTGTGTGGTTCTTTTTCCTTTTCCTCCTCTTCTTAGGCGCTCCAGAAGTGACACATAATAGAAACAATCCCTTTCTTGTGGAAGAAGGAGAAATTATATCTTTATGGTGGCATTTATTTTTTTATGAAAAATAATCCGGGTCATCCTTTCTTAGAAAGTAGAGGTTTCTTTCTTTCTCCCCCAAAAGGCCTGTTTCTCATACATACACATAAACACTAACTTTAGTCTTCGACTCTCACAGGTCAAGGAAGAAATTATTTGATAAGGGTTGAAACATATATAGTATGTGGTGGCATATCCGTTCCAGGATTAACATGGCTATACGGAAACATCGTAAAGCGAAATAAAAAAGCCCATTGAAACGCATTAAAACCCGGTTAATGCGTTCCAATGGACTAAAAACTGGCAGGGACAGGGTGGGTGGGGGATCCCGAAGGCTTCCAGGCAAAAGCCTGGAAGCCTTCGGGACCCCTCCACCCTGTCCCCGCCGCCCCGGGCTGCCTTCCCTAGCCAAGATCAGACTCCCAGGAGCCCGATCCAGGCTGGGGAAAGTGGCGGGGGGGGGCTGCCAGCGAAGGGGGCAGGGGGGGGGGGGGGGGGTCCCCACCCACGGGAACAGCCTGGGTAAGCAGCGCGGGAAGGCTTCAAGCTTCCTGATCCACCCCCCAGCCTGTCCCCGCCGCTTAAAGCCTCCTTGCACCACCTACCCAGCCCGTTCTCGGACTTCCAGGCGTCCGAGAACGGCCGGGGTAGGCGGCGTGGGGAGGCTGCCGGCGGCGGGGACAGGGTGGGGGGGTGTCCACAAGGCTTCCAGGCAAAGGCCTGGAACCCTTTGACACCCCCGTACCCTTCCCTCGCTGCCGCTGAGAGCCTTCCGAGCTCTCAAAGGGCTTTCTCCAATATCGGAGGGGGCCCTTTGAGAGCTCGGAAGGGAATTTTCGGCAGGGGACGGTGGCTTCGGGGTCCTTCCGAGGCCGCAGCCCACTGCTGACATTTTCCTCCAGCTGAGCGGTGGGGCTTCAAAGCTCCCGCCACTCAGCTGGGGGAAAATGGTGCCTATGGGGAAAACATCGCAAAGCGATTTTCCCCCATAGGCACCTTCGTTATACGATCGCAAAAGCGATGTCATAATTCGTCATTAAACGGGGCACTTGTTATACGAGGCACCACTGTATAAGGTATATAAGGGAACATATATAAGGTGACCTGTGACAGCCCTCCCCGCCCAGGAAGCAGTGCAACTCCCTTGGGGGTCACAACCCCCAGGTTGGGAAACGCTGGTCTACCTATTCTGTTTCTTGTGCAAAAATATTTTATATTTCAGTCTGCTGTTGATGGTTTAAAAAGTATTCAATACTTTGAGATTAGCATAGGCATCCTTCAGTCTCGAGAGACTATGGTAACATACTCTGAATCGAGGAGTGTCCTCTCCAGAGCATGAAGCCCGGGTAAGGTAATATGGAGGATAGGCTGTTACCCAAGCAGCAGATCCCCCCTCTCCACATTGCTGAAATGGTCCATTTCAGCAATGAGATTATATCTATTCTAATAAGAGTTTTAGAGTCTCTGTCTTGAGGTCTGTGTTGCCTATTGTTCCAGTGTTAACTGGAAGAATTTCTACATCAATCTTCCATGAAAAGTAATGAAAAAATTAAGAGGCAAAAATATTAATTAATTTGTGCTTCTTGTTTTCTGTTTGTTTTTAAAACACAGTTGATGATTTTTGGAATCTTTTTGTGCCTGGATGCTTTCCTCTATGTGTTCACACTGCTTCCATTGAGAGTTTTTCTAGCCATGTTCAGGTTCATCACCTTGCCTTGTTACAGTTTACGGTAAGTTCCTTTATTTAATTTGCAGAAATTATGGTGCATGTTTACAGAATAAGACCTTGGTAGGTTGAAAATGAGAGCTTCAAACTTCAAGAAAACAAACAAAAATCCCCAACACGTAGCAGTAATTTCTGAACTTCATGTGTTGTGATACTGTATAGCAGTTAACAGCAAATTCCAGGAAAGTGCTGTCCTCTGAAGATATCGCCAACAGAGACTGGCAAAACGTTAGGAAGAACAACCTTCAGAATACGGCCAGAGAGCCCGAAAAACTCACAACAACCAAATTCCAGGAGAGTTTATACAGGAAAATTATCCAGGGATATGCTAGGAACTAGAGAATGGGGGCTTTGTATTTGTATATGAATATGAAGCCCCCTGGCACAGGTGGCCACCCTGATTATCTTCCAGACCCTGCTGGACCACTTACTACCCAGTGTGCATCACATGTGGCCAGTGTCATCAAGAATGGAGAATGGCTGAGCAAACAAGGAGGTGGTGCTGCAGTAACCAAGTTACTGCCACAATTGGCACAGTGACAGTGAAGCTGGCCACGTGCGATATGCAGTGCACAGTAAGTGGTCCAGTGGAGTCTGGAGGTGGGAGATAATCAGGGTGGCAACCTGTGCTGGGGGGGCTTAGCCCACATTTTTACTAGGTACCTCAACTTCTGGGTTTTATTTTAGTAGATTAGTCAATTTGATTAGTAGATTAGTCAATATTTCCATAATGCTTTTTGTTATCTTTGTCCTCTGATTGGTCTTTTATAAATAGGAAAAGTGAGGTGGAATAAGTTAGATGGACAGAGTGCTGATGCTTATGCTGCAGTGTGGTTAAAAATGAGAGAATATAACGTTTCAGGGGGCTCAGAACTTGTAATCTTGCACAAGAGACTTGGTTGTTTCCAAGATTTCTGTGAAGTATGGTGTTATAGAGATGGAGGTGTTGCATCACAGTTATTAAGTTTTACTTTGGCTGTTGAAATTTATAGGCAACCATTAAATAAATGTTAAAAATCATTCTTACCTACTCAGTTGAATGTACAGTGGTGCCCCGCATGACGACGATAATCCGTTCTGGGAAAATCGCTGTTTAGCGAAATCGTTGTCATGCGAAAACCCTTTCCCAATTGGAATGCATTGAAAATCAGTTTAATGCGTTCCAATGGGGAAAATACTTAGTCGTCCAGCGAAGATCGCCCATAGGGAAGCCATTTTGCAAGCGCCAATCAGCTGTAAAAATCGCTGCCCTGCGAAGCATGGGTCTGCAAAATACAGGGCAGCTATTTTGCGGAGCCGGAAAAATCATCGTCTTGCGAACAAAAGGTTCACGAAGCACGGACCTAATCATCGTTAAGTGATAATCACCCATTGGAATGACTGTTTTGCGAATTGCTATAGCGATCGCAAAAAGTCATCGTAATGCGGATTTGTTGTTCAGCGGGGCCGTCGTCTTGCGAGGTACCACTGTACCTGTAAAACCTTTCATTCAGCGTCCATGGTGGCATAATATACCGTGCATTTTTATGACATAAAATTTTCAGTCAATTCTAAGCAGTGTCTATGTGTGTTTCTACAAATTTATATATATTTTAAATAACAGGAATTGCAAATCTAACAATAGACTTTAAATTATCATAACAAGAGATGTCCAAATGAACTATGTGTGAATGCCGGTTTTTATTTACTAAATAGAAACTGACCATATTGTGCAAGTGCCCACTTTATTTACCTGGTCATCTTTATCATCTTGTACATTGTACCATACTTCAAAATTAAGACCTGTTTATGAGTCTTTGTGTGTAGAGAATAGTCTGTTCTTTGTAGTTGCCTCTGTGAATGCACAAAAATGGGTTTCTTCTGCGCCTGTGCAGGATGTTTTGGAGATTTATAGAGCTTAAAAAAGAGTAACAAGATACCCTCCAGGGTGCAAGCTCCGCCTCCTCAACCTTCCCCTCAGTTCCTTTTTTCCCGCCGTTTGGTTAGGATGTGAGGAACAGTAGAGCTTCAATAAGGAAAGTAAAAATAGCCTTCTTCATCTAATTAGTATTTTTCTTCTAGTTATTGCTTATTAGAATCATTATTAGTTATTTCCCTTAGTGATTACATCCTTTTTTTCTTATTATATGACATCATTTTGCTTTCCCACCTCCCCCCCTTCCCTGGGACTTTCCCCCCTATTTTCCTACTGTTTTATGCCCCCTCGGGTATTCAAGAGGTGCCTCCACAAGATCCCGTTAACTGACGGACACGACAAATGCCTATTCTGCCTGGGAGAATCCCACCAAACTCAGTTGTGTACCACGTGTAAAAGCCTCTCTAAACCAGCCATTAAGCTGAGGCTTCAGTGCCTACGATTTTTTTTGTACGAAAAGACTTTAACTCCAATTATGGAAGTGGAGACCCCTCCTTCGTCAAACCCACCATGGCCAGTAGCGGCCAAAGCTACATGTAGTCCGGCTATCCAATCTATGATTAGGACAACATCAATACCTACCAAGTCTAAAGAATCACAAAAAATTTTTAAATTGGTCTCCGTCTCTGCTAAGACTCAGTCATGGTTGGATGACCCTGCAAAGAAGAAAAAAAATGTAAGACCAAGAAACAAAAGAAGATTGCTAAATTGACTATCGTAGTCCCTCCACCAGCTCCGCTGCCTATGGAGGAGTCATCCAGAAAAGCGCCTACACTCTCAGACAGAGAGGGACGTACTATCTCCTCAGCTCAGGCACCGCATGATATTCTTAGCATGTTACCGAGCTGAGGCCAATCTGAGGCTGATGTACCTTCCAGCCTGGCTGTGGCCCCTTATAGCCCTCGAATATCAGGGTGGGCAAATGTTGGTGCAGAGTCTGAATTGGAATCTCCTGAACACTCTCCGAGGAAGAGAACGGAGAAGCATAGACATATCAGTCCATACCAGGCTCATTGACATGGTGAACACTGCTGCCATGCTGAATGTCAACCTTATTATGGACAGAACTACTTTGACTAGTACCACACATATTGGTACCATGACTGTGGATACTATGATGACTACAGGGGACCCAGATACCCTCCGCCGACATGGCACCAGAGACCAGTGTGCCAGCAAAACGATCCAAACAGGCTAGGGGTCAATCCATGGTAGATACGACAACTGTGTATTCCGGACCTCATAGACACGATGTCGAACCACTCTCAATGTCTACACAACCAGATAACTTCATACCAAGAGCCCATATGGAGGGACCAGACCATTCACCCTAAATGTCTTCCACATCCTCCCAGAATGAAGGTTCATCATCATTGGATGTCTCTGATTCAACATCCCACTCCTCACTCAGATACACTTGATAACCATCCCCCATCACCTTCGGAGGATTACACATTGTATCCTCAACTCATACTGAGAATGGCTAAGATCCTGCAGTTTGATACACAGCTACCGTCCCAACAAGAGAAGGACTTTGTATTCCATGACTTGGAACAAGATAAGATACCTCCACCTAGCCTGAGCCTCATACCGGCACTACTTCAGCTTGTCAAAGAATCATGAGACAAGCGATCCTCAACGCTGCAGACTCCACGCAGAGTAGAACACCATTATAAGACGCATGGTACAGATGTTGCCTTCTTACTCAAACATCCAACCCCTAACTCAGTAGTCGTTGATTTTTGATATCACCTGGCAGGACAAAGTTCCAAATAGAGTAGTCCTAGAACGAGCTGGAATTTTTAGCATATATACATTACTGAAACAGCGTCTACGTTGGCTTGGGCATGTCATGAGAATGGCTGATGGTCGGATTCCAAAGAATTAGTGCAGGGAAATCGTCCCAGAGGGAGACCGCAGCTGCGATACAAGGAATCTGCAAGCGGGATCTAAAGGCCTTAGGGATGGACCTCAATAGATGGGAAACCTTGACGTCTGAGCATTCAGCCTGGAGGCAGGTGGTGCATCATGGCCTCTCCCATTTTGAAGAGACCCTTGTCCAGCAGGCCGAGGCAAAGAGGAAGTCACAAAAACAGCAACATCAGGGAGCTGGACTGGGGACAGGTTGGATTTGTCTTCAATGTGGAAGGGATTGTCACTCTCGAATTGGCCTCCTCAGCCAAATTAGACGCTGTTCCAAGTCCTCCGTACAGAGCACGTTACCATAGTCTTTCGAGACTGAAGGATGCCTAACTAATTTATTTATTTATTTATTTATTTATTGGACTTATATACCGCCCCATAGCGCTACAAGCACTCTCTGGGCGGTTTACAATTTAATTATACAGGCTACACATTGCCCCCCCCCCCAGCAAGCTGGGTACTCATTTTACCGACCTCGGAAGGATGGAAGGCTGAGTCAACCTTGAGCCGCTACCTGGGATTTGAACCCCTGGTCGTGAGCACAGTTTTAGCTGCAGTACAGCGTTTTAACCACTGCACCACTAACCCAATATAAGTCACACAACAGATCATTGATAAGAGAAAACTACTCCCTTGCTGCACTATTGATTAGAACTTCCAACTATCACGCAGCCATGGGTGCCTATCAAAGACATTTATGGGACAAAATACTCCCTATGCTGCAAGCGGCATCCGAAACAACAAAACCGGAACTGCTGAATATATATACAGAGGCTACGACTCTAGCCAAACAACAAAGAATGGCCACGAGACACACTGCGGACAAAGCATCAAAGACCATGGCCACCTCGATAGCCGTTAGAAGACACGCTTAGGTCATCTAACATCGTTGACGATGCCAAGGCTAGGATAGAGGACCTCCTGTTCGATGCCACGGCTCTGTTCAATGCCAACATGGATTATATGATGGAAAACATCCATGAAACGAGAAAACAGCCAAGTCTTATGTACTGCAGCAACGCTATTGATACCAGAAACCTTCCTGCAGGAAGCCATACTACCAACAACAGTACCAATATCAACCATTTCTCTCTCATAAGCAGCAGCCTCAAGAAAGACCTTACCAACCCACACATGCTGCTACTCCACAGTTTAGACACCAACAA